ATGGTGTTAATGTATTGGGTGTTGTGGAAATTGTTATTGGTGTTAATGTATTGTGGTGTTGCGGATTATGTTAATGTTGATGTATGGGGTGTTGTATATTTTACTCTAAGCGTCTCTACCCAAGAACTAGCCTACACTGAACTTAGCCACAAAAAGTTTTGAGAAACGTGCTAGACAAAGATCGGTTAAATACAAGACAAAAATAAAAATGTATTTCACTTGACTGCGATTTAATTGGACATTGTCGCCATCTCACACAGGAAATGGCAGTGATCGGAGCAGAGACCATCGTTCAGAGCGTTGTTGGCGGGGGAGACACCACCACAGTTCTCGTTTCCATTGGAGTTGTTAGGCTCACCTGTAGTGGGAGTACAGGTAAATACAGTATCACAGGAGGTAACATAATACAGGTAAATACAATATCACTAGAGGTAACGTAATACAGGTAAATACAATATCACAAGAGGTGACATAATACAGGTAAATACAATATCACTAGAGGTAACGTAATACAGGTAAATACAATATCACAAGAGGTAACAATATAGGTAAATACAATATCAAAGTGGTAACACGATACAGGTAAATACAATATCCCAAGGGGTAAGAAAATACAGGTAAATAAATTATCACAGGAGGTAACATGATACAGGTAAATACAGTATCACAGGAGGTAACATGATACAGGTAAATACAGTATCACAGGCGGTAACATAATACAGGTAAATACAGTATCACAGGAGGTAACATGATACAGGTAAATAAATTATCACAGGAGGTGACATAATACAGGTAAATACAGTATCACAGGAGGTAACATAATACAGGTAAATACATTCAGCTGATCTGATGTTCTAACTAGAGAAGGGTAGAGCTGGTCATAAGAAATATCGATTTACGAATTCTCGTTTTAAATCTATGTAAACAATACCAAGTTTTTAGTAATTATTTTTTTCAAAGGTATATACGGTGTAGGTAATTGTTAACTACAAAGTTATGCAAATATGTTGTAGGTAATCGTTAGCTAAAATATATGTAAATATGTTGTAAGAACGTTACAAATCTAGCTGGTGTACACCACCATCAATCAAATGTTTGGGGTGTGATTAAAATATTCCACCTCCCCCCCACATCCCAATATATACACAAGTCTGTCAATAGCAACGTTAGTTTGTCCACCAACCTAAAGCAAAGATCACCCGCCTCCAGCTGTCTGAGACAATGCTTGCGTCATCCACCCACTGAAAAACGTCTTCAGTCACCAGGTCATTTAAGCCCATCCAGAAATATGTTTTATATTGTAAACTGACAGCCTTCATGATGGCCAACTTTTCGCTTGTCTTAGCCGTATACATGTTCCCTCCTAATGCTGCAAGAGTGAGTAGAGCACCAACTCTTTTTACACATTACATTATATATATATATATATATATATATATAATTTATTTTTTATAATGTTTTTTTTAAAATTTAATCGCTATAATATTTTATTTACAAACTGAGATTACCTTTACAACTTTATAAACTGAGATTACCTTTACAAACTTCCCTGGCGTCCGTGTAGTTTAAAGTATCAGCTGACATTCTGACACAAACCCTGACGTCGCCACTCTGTTGGAGGGTGAAGTTTGCCGCAGTGTTACACGGTTGGGTGCTCCTGTAGGTGTTCACGTGACTGATGGCTACAGGTGAGGACGTGGGCCAGGCGCCTACAGGAGAGATGACTTAGTAAATTATTCAACATGATTAGTGACATGAACGCACCTACTTTGTCTTCATTTAATTATTGTGTAAATTTTACATCTACTTCCTTATAATAAATATCATACCTAGACTGCAGGTGTTGAGGTGTTCGTTGAAAACAAAACTAAAACAAGAATTGTTTCTCATGAGACATTGTCTGGCACAGGTGAAGCGACCAATTCCAGCAAGTTCCACACCAAGTGGGACAAACTTCAGGTACGGGTTGGTCAACAAGACGAACCGTGACGTCACCACCGATGTTGTTAGTGTGGCTGTGCCTAGTGCAAATGATTTGACCAAAGATACTTTTGTTTGCATAAATTCAATGAATGTTTCACTTTAGTTTAAAAAGGAACACCTAACTAATTTTAAGTATAGACTAACCTGCCTGTACCAGAAGTGTTGCTAGGATACAGTGGCACATGTAGATCAAATCCTTCAGCATCTTTGTAGGTTGTGATGTAGGTTGTGCTGTAGGTTGTGATGTAGGTTGTGATGTAGGTTGTGATGTAGGTTGTGATGTAGGTTGTGACGTAGGTTGTGATGTAGGTTGTTGTTGTGTGGCCTATATTTTATCTCATCGATCAAGTTGAAATGCGATGTTTTTTTTTTCAAAATTCTTCACGTGCTCTTTATTGAAGTCTAGCTGAAAATATTTGAGCTCGAGATGGCCTTTTATAAAGTTATTTCTTTAATAGGCAGAACGTCCTGAGTAATGAAAACATGAGAACAAAAAATCATTCTAAAGCACGGGTTCCCAACCTGGGGGTCGCGACCCCCCTGGGGGTCGCGAAGGTCTTTCTGGGGGGTCGCCAACTGGTATACTAAACTTTAGTAATTTGAAACAAAACATAAATATTTAGAAGAATTTTTGAAATTCGACTTCATTAACATCACTGGAAATGTAATAGAGAAGAAACAAATCGCACTGTACAAAGTTGTTCTCAGTCACGAATCTATGAAATCTTTACCGGAATACACCAAAAAAGATATGGAGTTCTTTCGTTGATAAGAAGCTAGTTGCAAACGCCAGAAACTTGATCGAACAGGAAGTTTTCACCAGCATTAGTGCAAGCATCAAATAAAGTCGCGATAGAAAATGCCAAGCAAAAAAAATATATAAAAAAATAGGAGAAAATCTCATCAAACGCTGCATGTACGTAAATGTTAAATAACACATTTTTATTGAAATTAAGCTTTTACCGTTGTTTGCTTTTCAAGTTGATAAATCAACAAACGTGAGTTCGTGTTGCAGTTGCTGGTCTGTGTCTATATTCATGCGGATGATAGCAAAGAAGTGTTGCTATTTTGTGAAGATAGCATGGAGAAAATAAATACCTTTTTTAAAAACTGGATGATTAAAATGAGTTAGAACGGCTGCGGGGGTTTGTACAGATGGTGCGCCATCTATGTTTAGCTCAAAATCGGGCTTTCAGAAAACAGAAAAGATTTAGCTCCCTAACCACTGCCCTATCCAATCGACATCAATAGTCCATTACTAGTATAAGTCGTAAATTATATAAAATCTGGAGCCTTCAAAGAACTGAGCAAAAACGTTAATATAGATCACGAGGTTCTGCTCTTCTACACTACAGTACGCTGACTGTCAAACGAAATGTTGTAAATTGTGTTTTTGAATTGAAATCTGAAATCAAATTGTTCTTGGGAGTGCAAAGGAAAGAAGACTTTTTGGTATACTTAAAACGACATAGAGTGGTTGGAGAGAGTATCATACCTAGCAGATGTGTTCGAACATCAAGATAAGCTTAACCTGAAGCTTCAGGGAAAATGAACGTATATTATAACTTTCCTTGATAATCTCGGGGCATTTTTATCAAAGCTGCAAAATCGGTAAAGAAACCAAATCGTGGAAATATTGTAAATTTGAGAAACTCTGCTGTGTGGTAGATGAATCTGATTGTGAGATAATTAAAATTTTGAAAGAAGCGATTTCTGGGCATCTTGAATCTCTTGAAAACGAACTGCATGGCTATTTCTCTGAGCTAAAAAAAGAAGAATCTGCATTTACGCATAACCCATTCTCTTCTTCCCTTGATGTTGCCAGCATTCCCGATGAATTACAAGATGAATTCTTTGATTTGCAGAATGATTTCGAGCAAGATGAAAAACTGCAGGCACAATTTTGGTGTAGTCTTCGCCATTCATACCCAAACGTAAAATTGATTGACTTTTCGAGAATATATTTTCAACACTATTCTTCGATTAAAAACAAAATTAAGATAATTATAACGACATAGGTTGGCTTTAACAAAATATTTTAAATTAAAAACTTAACCACGAAGGTTTAGTGAATAGTATGCAATTTTACTCATGCTATTAAAACAGTTATCAAGAGTAGTTCATATTGAAAGTCTACTAGAAAACCTTATTTTAGTGCTTATTAATTTCCATACTAATTTCGGCTTTTTAATTCTATGGGGGTCGCGGGTCACTTACTTTTTATAAAAGGGGGTCGCCACTCGAAAAAGGTTGGGAACCACTGTTCTAAAGTTTAAACTGGTACTTTAATTAAGTAAACCAGAGTTATACCAACCTTTACATCATTTATCGACTGTGTTGTAGTAAGCCCTGAGTGGAACTATGTTTACACAACTGGATTTATGTCTGTGTAAGATGTTGCTGCAAGATTCAACTTTAGCGACCAGCAACTGAGTTCTCGTAAGCATCAGTAAAACATCTGACTAAACAAGCCGCACTGATTAAATATAGATTATGTAAGAAACCTACAGGATCGCCATCAATTGTTGTTATTGTTGTACAATTGTATGCTATTGAATCTTAGCAAGTAATCAATCTAACCAGTGATTATTGTTTGGATGCGGACCATTATTTGTTGTACAAACCATCCTATGTTGCTGAGTTCAATCAACTCCATTGTTGAGACACAACATACTGGGGGAGTACAAGACAATCACGACACACCGTCTCATGTAAGGTTAAGTTACATGTCTGGCTTAAGGATCGATACACCAGCTCATATACGTTCATTAAAAATCTCTAATTATTGCATTGGGTTACTCTATTATTTTACTAAGTAGATTTTCTCAAATATTTATTTACTGAATAAATTATAATCAGAGAATTACATAAAAGAATCAATTACATGTTTACACTGCACAAAGCGCACGTAATCAACAAATGTGACACAAACCCCCATATAGCTAGTGGACTGACGAAAACATCACTTAGATAAAAATAAATCTTTTCTAAGACATCACTGAGATAAAACATAAAACTTAAACTAAAACATCACTGGCACCTCTACAACCTTTACCTGCCAGTTTGGCACCTCTACAACCTTTACCTGCCAGTTTGGCACCTCTACAACCTTTACCTGCAAGTTTGGCACCTCTACAACCTTTACCTGCCAGTCTGGCACCTCTACAACCTTTACCTGCAAGTTTGGCACCTCCACAACCTTTACCTGCAAGTTTGGCACCTCTACAACCTTTACCTGCAAGTTTGGCACCTCTACAACCTTTACCTGCCAGTTTGGCACCTCTACAACCTTTACCTGCCAGTTTGGCACCTCTACAACCTTTACCTGCCAGTTTGGCACCTCTACAACCTTTACCTGCCAGTTTGGCACCTCTACAACCTTTACCTGCCAGTTTGGCACCTCTACAACCTTTACCTGCCAGTTTGGCACCTCTACAACCTTTACCTGCCAGTTTGGCACCTCTACAACCTTTACCTGCAAGTTTGGCACCTCTACAACCTTTACCTGCCAGTTTGGCACCTCTACAACCTTTACCTGCCAGTTTGGCACCTCTACAACCTTTACCTGCAAGTTTGGCACCTCTACAACCTTTACCTGCAAGTTTGGCACCTCTACAACCTTTACCTGCAAGTTTGGCACCACCACAACCTTTACCTGCAAGTTTGGCACCTCTACAACCTTTACCTGCAAGTTTGGCACCTCTACAACCTTTACCTGCCAGTTTGGCACCTCTACAACCTTTACCTGCAAGTTTGGCACCTCTACAACCTTTACCTGCCAGTTTGGCACCTCTACAACCTTTACCTGCCAGTTTGGCACCTCTACAACCTTTACCTGCAAGTTTGGCACCTCCACAACCTTTACCTGCAAGTTTGGCACCACCACAACCTTTACCTGCCAGTTTGGCACCTCTACAACCTTTACCTGCCAGTTTGGCACCTCTACAACCTTTACCTGCCAGTTTGGCACCTCTACAACCTTTACCTGCCAGTTTGGCACCTCTACAACCTTTACCTGCCAGTTTGGCACCTCTACAACCTTTACCTGCCAGTTTGGCACCTCTACAACCTTTACCTGCCAGTTTGGCACCTCTACAACCTTTACCTGCCAGTTTGGCACCTCTACAACCTTTACCTGCCAGTTTGGCACCTCTACAACCTTTACCTGCCAGTTTGGCACCTCTACAACCTTTACCTGCCAGTTTGGCACCTCTACAACCTTTACCTGCAAGTTTGGCACCTCTACAACCTTTACCTGCCAGTTTGGCACCTCTACAACCTTTACCTGCAAGTTTGGCACCTCTACAACCTTTACCTGCAAGTTTGGCACCTCTACGATGTTTAGTTTCTCAGAACTTACCTGGGTGTGAACCGTTCAAGTCTGTTGTGCCAGTAGACATTTAGACGTCAGGTCTTTGATCTATTGTGACGAGTGAAGTAGAGACAGATACAAAAACCTCTGGGATACATGCTTACAACACGCAGGTCTTTGATCTATTGTGACGAGTGAAGTAGAGATAGATACAAAACCTCTGGGATACATGATTACAACACGCAGGTCTTTGATCTATTGTGACGAGTGAAGTAGAGATAGATACAAAAACCTCTGGGATACATGCTTACAACACGCAAGATGTATTGTTCAGTCGATGTATGGGCGCATCTTGGAAGGATTCTCTTTAAACAATTCTTTTTGTCCTCATTATTCATTCATGTTTTATTTGTACAATAGTTGATGAGTTACTTGATGTATTTTATAAGAAACAAGTAGAAATGTTTTTTTTCCTCTAGATATTTGTCGACATATATCCTATACTTTTTTCTTTGGTGGGGAGGGTGACACCATGAGGTGCCGCACTGGGTGACACACTACCTAGCGACTCCACTGCCCACATATATCATGAGTAGTTTAATAATCAGAGTCAGTTTAACAGCCTCCACACACACACACACACGTACGCACACACACGTACGCACATACTGGTACAGAGATTGTCGCTGGTACAGAGATGGTCGCTGGTACAGAGATGTTCGCTGGTACAGAGATGTTCGCTGGTACAGAGATGGTCGCTGGTACAGAGATGGTCGCTGGTACAGAGATGGTCGCTGGTACAGAGATAGTCGCTGGTACAGAGATGGTACAGAGATGGTCGTTTAACAGAGATGGTCGATGGTACAGAGATGGTCGTTTAACAGAGATGGTTGCTGGTACAGAGATGGTCGCTGGTACAGAGATGGTCGCTGGTACAGAGATGGTCGCTGTAGTACATAGACTGTCGCTGGAGTTTAGAGGCTAATGATATTTCAAGTTGTTATACAATATTCACGATTTACTTTTATATAAAATTGAACTGATTAAAAATATTTTTAATAATTTATTAATAATAAATTTCAAAAATGAAATTTGATTTAATTTTTTATCACTGTTGTAATAAAATTAAGAAACAATCAACAGTATCATAAAGCTTACAATTCTAAAAATGAAATTTAATTACCTTTGTTGAAATCGCAGTGCTAATACAATTTTGTCTAAATATTTAAATAACATTTCGTCAAGCTAGCTAAGAATTGTTTATGCAAATTTCTGTCAAGAAAACATTTTAATTGTATCAAACTGTACGTTTAGTTTGCCTATGCTAACACTCATCAACCGATCAACTTGTTTAGATCAATATCTTATAATACATTAATTAAACAATTTATAAACAACGATGTTGCGTCCTTATTTAAATTGAGAGCGTGATTATTACATGTCACATAATTGTAAGGATTAGAGACACACGGAAGATATTGACGGGACTTAAACCCAGGGTACCATCTATTGATGGACTCCCAATTTTGCACCGTAACTATGAAGGCTCTAAAATGGTATTTCGTGAAAGGCAGTAAATTTTCTATAGTTTTTCACATGAGTTCTGTGAATGTAAACCAAGGTATAACATTACCGTGAGTAATGCAAGATTCTAACGTTTATGGACGGTATAAATGACGGCACACTACACTTAAACAGTTGTTTATGAACATTTTTAACGCTCACAAAATTGTTGAGAATACTGCGTGAAGATTTCTGCGATTAAAAATTAAAATTTCTGAGGTTCGGCGCCCGAGCAGAAGGGTGCAGTTTGCGCCCAAAGTTCCCGAGCGGCTGTCTTAACAGCAGGGACACGTTAATTGGGCGTCCTTCTTGAGGGTACTTCTGCACTAGACGCAAACGCCGGCGTCCAGGAGGTCGTTGGCACGGAGCATCCGCCGTACACCCCTACACCCCGTACACCCCGTACACCCCGTACACCCCTACACCCCGTACACCCCGTACACCCCGTACACCCCTACACCCCGTATACCCCGTACACCCCGTACACCCCGTACACCCCGTACACCCCGTACACCCCGTACACCCCGTACACTCCTACACCCCGTACACTCCTACACCCCTTAGATTCCTTACAAGAGTTAGTTTTAAATGTGTCGGGGAGACCTATCACAGAGTTGATGTCAAAGTCAAGAATTTTTTTTTTCTAATGACGTAATGTTGACAAAAACAAATATCGATCAAGTGCGTGCTACAATTGTCGTTAAAGGCTTTAAACCAGAAGAATTATTGTTAGCTAGCTTTTTCAAGTCATTTTTTACTATTCTAAGCCTAGGTAATACAGCTTGAAAGCAATTATTGCTTGCTGTTTCAAATAATAAAATCGGTCGGCCTATCGCTTGTTTAATTTAACGTTTCCTCTGGTTCTAGCATAGCCACAATGATTGTATAATTGACACAATGATTGTAACATAAGCACAATAATTGTGTAACATAGCCACAATGATTGAATGTGCTCATGGGAGGAATTCAGTCTAGTTGACTAGCAAATTCAACCAACAATTTGTTCTTCTGGTCACTCTAGGATCCTAGTTCAAGTTTTTTTTTTGCATGTTTTTTTCTTTAGTAAAATGTTTCAGATCTTCTTAGATAACATTTTTTGTATTTCCTTTCACTTTGATCCAACGACACTATTTTTCTCGATACTAATGAAAACGAAAATATCACTTTTAAATGTAATACATGTAAAGTGGTTTTAATGAATTAGGAAATGGTACAAAACTATTCAAACTGACAACATTAACAGGATAGAAAGTTTGAACAATCGAAAGTGCTTTTACAAATAATACTGAGAAATGAAGAAATGGTATGGGTTAAACAGTAGAATAATGTAATACAAATAGTAATTAATGAAATGTACTTTGAATTTTACAGGCATACAAACATCAGTAATTACTACATAATGTATACCACAATATAACAACAAAACAGAAATAAGAAAGAATGACCAAGATAAGAATATTGAAGAAATGTTCAGAAGGTTCGGGCTGTCATCTCACACAGGTATCTCTGTAGATTTGAGCAGGGCAGGTCCACGAGGGCTTTGTTTGTCTGGAGGTACACAACACAGTTCTCACTGACTCCTCCACTGGGCTCGCCTGCAAGTACAGGATTGTGATCAGCCCAGATAGACATAGGTAGACTGGTATGTTGGGGAGTAGGACATCACATTGGGATACTGGGAGTAGGACATCACACTGGGATACTGGGAGTAGGACATCACACTGCGATACTGGGAGTAGGACATCACACAGGGATACTGGGAGTAGGACATCACACTGCGATACTCAGAGTAGGACATCACACTGGGATACTGGGATAGGACATCACACTGGTAGGACATCACACTGCGACACTCGGTGTAGGACATCACACTGCGATACTGGGAGTAGGACATCACACTGCGACACTCGGAGTAGGACATCACACTGGTAGGACATCACACTGGGATACTGGGAGTAGGACATCACACTGGGATACTCGGAGTAGGACATCACACTGCGATACTGGGAGTAGGACATCACACTGCGACACTCGGAGTAGGACATCACTCCCTCCCCGTCAGTCCCACCTTAGATAAATATTCTAAAAATCAAAGTCCTTTTTCATTTCCACCTCCGCCCAGACTAACTCGGCGAAGGACACCAACCCCTTGTAATTTATATATAATCTGAAGGTAATTCTAAAATGAATTAGAAGTAAGGTAGTGAAATAGGGGCCAAGTGAAAGGGTTAATGGAATATGGTTTAGGTCTCTCTTACAATATACTGTTAATCAGGTCATCGGTATCGTCAAAACTATTTATTTACGAGAAAAATGGCCCGTTGAGGAAGGATACAACGGGCGCTAGGTCGATAGCGCTGTCTATTTTCTCTAAACCAAAACCAAAGCCACCACCTTAACATTAAATTGAATCGGAAATGACAAATTACTTTGCAAACGGATTTTTATCAAGAATCGTCATTTTAATCGGATTTAAGCTTGATCTACACTTAGTTACTCCGCATTGATACTAAATACAGTCGTAGCCACACCCCTAAGCCATGCACCTAATCTCAATCATGACAAAAGTCGCATTTAGAGTTTCTTTCAGGCGACTCTACTTGGGGATAGGGGGCTCCGCCCCCCCCCCCCCCCCCATTCCCCCCACACCATAAAGCACTTCTATCGTCACATTCAACGAAATTATATAAATTTTCCAGTTTCCGCCCACTCCAAGAAAATTCCGCCCCTGCCCCCGAAAAATTTCAAGTATCCCCCTCCGTCTCCGGTGATGAAAACGTCTGAAAGAAACACTGGTCGCATTTGTAGATCACACAAACTAACGGTAGAAACTGTGCACGCTTAAAACTTTTTAGATTAGAAAATTTAAAGTTCCCCTCTCCTCGGAGGAAAAAGTCTGAAAGAAAAACTGGTGTCGCGCTTAGGCACTACCCGAAGAATTCTGTGAAAGAAACTCTAAATGCAAAAACACTTTTAAGTTTATACACATTAGTTATGCCGTAATATCAGTCTATTTTATTATAGAGTATCGATGACGTCATATCTTTTGATTTGGGGGGGGGGGGGGAGGCTTAGATGTTCTACCGGGGGGAGGGATTCGCCCCTACCCGAAGAATTGTATGAAAGAAACTCTTCACGCAAACAATTTAGATTAGACAAAATTGGCTTTTTTTTTCAATGTTTACTCGAGAATCAATGACGTCAAATTATTGTGGGCACTCTCCGGCTTAATAATATTTTCAACTATATTCTCAATGTGACGTCATGTTTTGTTTTCGTTTTACTATGCAAGTTTTAATTTGCTTGTGTTTTCTCTATATCGTTCTTGTCAGATACATACATACACAGATAGACAGACAGCGAATCTATTAGTATTAATATCAAAGCTCTCAGACGGCTACTTATACATTTGTTCTGGTAAGATAACACAGGTAACACAGGTAACTCGGGTAACACGGGTAACACGGGTAACTCGGGTAACACATGTAACTTGGGTGAATCGGGTAACACGGGTAAATCGGGTAA